AAGACATCAGTTTAGATTACTGGATATCCATAATATGTATCATTATGAAATTTTTATTTTTTATTTCAGTTACGTACCAAACGGAAGTTTCCCCATTAACAAAACGCCCTATATATCTATCTATAGATGAAGTGATACAATAATTTTCAGGTATGACTACTTTCAATATCTTATCTTGATCACATTATATTTGCTGATGAGATATACATAGTTCGTCATGCTGTTTTATAGTCCTCACCAATAAAATAGATTCCATTTTTTCATTATTATTTCAGCTGCATCTTCACAAAATGGGCGTTTCAAGGGTTCTAAGTATGTGCATTCTTCTCGTAGTGTCATTTTGTTTGTTGGTGAGTACCTATCTACGAAATTTTGACATGTCTCTCCTATACTCATTCAACTTCACGCTTTTGCCACTAGATGACTCTAAAGGCTAAATCACCCATCTCCTTCATCAAAACTCTGCTTTGTGGCACTCATCATGCAGGATCCTTCGTGAAACGGTTGTCAGCCGACCGAGTGCAACTGATGAGGCCTGAAAAGCCGAAACAGTATGTCTTGCATTGCATCAGGTGACACTCGCTTCACAAAACTCCCCTTGAATCTTTTGGTATCATTGACATGATATACTGGATATGTCAAATCATAATTATTGCTATTAAAATGCCACAAGATATTTTGTTTCATGATTCATCTTGCCTTAAGTACTCTTGTTGGAATGCCATGAAACGAACCATTTTCGAAAAAAGTGTCATTTCACATTTTGATGTCGTTATAATTATATGTTATAGTTCTCAACTTCGATAGGATCCAGACCAGAATGCCAGCAAAATAACCTTCAGCCCGACAATGAAATCATTTCAACTGAATTGAATGACTTTCTGATGAATTTGGAAATATATACCGGAATGAACGGAGATAAACCTAATGTGGTGGATGTCAGTTGTCCTGATGAGAATAAGAGGTGTACCGTAAACGCTAATGGTACAGCAATTTGGGACGCAAGGTTGGTCAATAATGGAATTTACACTTCTACCAGTAGTTTGTAATTGAGTTCTCATTGTGTTCTGGAAATATTAGTGGAGAATGTCATTTCATAAACGAAAAATACACAGGGTGTCCCATAAATTAGTGTGCCATCCAATAAGAGCAATTACTGAGAGATATAGTCGGTTGTAAATAACAAACGTTCAGTAACTTTTTTTTTATCGCTTGGAGCGCACGAAAGGGAATCCCTATAATGTTCAAAGAACATCGTGCGTTCCTAGGGAGGATAGGAACAGGAGGTAGGTATTGGAATTTTTTTTGAACTTTTGGAGATTATATGTTGTTGGGAATACTTTCACATAGGCAATGAATTTCAGAGCCTAGCCGTTCTATGGATGAAGGAGTCTTGATAAAGTGCTGTTCGACATCTTTCGAGGTTGACAACGAAAGGATGTGCTGACTGGGCTTGTCTAGTTCGTCTGATTGGTATTGCTAGTGAAAGGATGATAGCTGAGATTTCCGCAGAACATTTCCCGTGGAAGTATCGATAGAAAAGTGAAATGTCGCCGACCTTTCTACGGTGTTCTAATGATGACAAAGAGTGAGTGAGTGTGGCGTCACCCACCAGGCGAATGGCTCTTCTCTGGATGGAATCTAAGAGCATCAGCGTATGTTTTGGTGCTGAACCCCATATGTGGGAACAGTATTCTAGAACAGGCCGTATCTGCGCTTTGTAGATCATGAAAAGTTGTTGAGGTGTAAAATAGCTTCCCGCACGGAATAAAAATCCGAGTTCTTGTGAAGGAGCATTCGCGATGGTTCCGACATGATTATCCCATGAAAAAGTATTGCTGATGGAAATAAATAGATATGGTGGGCTTGGTGGGGATGGTGGAGCCAGACATTACAATTTCGGGCATACTGAGTTCCGCCTTTCTAGAGAAAATGCAGGCTTGAGTTTTGGTGGCGTTGAATTCAACTAGGTTGTTTGTTCCCCAGGCTGTGATTTCAGCAAGATCTTCATTGATAGCATTGACCTGCCTGCGCCGTGAGTTCTTAGTTTCCTGGGAAGAAATGGGAATTCTGGAAGAGAACGCAGTATGGAGGGTGCTATCATCTGCAAAGCTGTGGATGGGGCAAGTTGTTACTCCCAACAGATCATTGATATGAAGCAGGAATAATGTTGGTGCCAAAATTGATCCTTGTGGAACGCCGGAATTGATGCCAATGGTATCAGGCGATACACCGTCCACCACCACGTGAAGCGATCTGCCTGAAAGAAAACTCGATAAGAGATGGCATAGCCGAGGTGGTAAGCCGTATGATGGTAGTTTGTGGAGGAGTCCTTCGTGCCAAACACGGTCACTTTCCACACTTGTTAGGAAAATTACTATTCCCGTACTAGTGTGGAAAAACTTTTTCCGACACTTCCCAAACTAAATTTGCGTGCGGGTATAGGGTGAATCACGCACGCTTGCATAAAAAAGAATTCGACCCTAGTCACCATCCCAATCGACGAGCTCACAAATATCACTACAACGCCCCGAATATCTTTGAAAAAGAATTCTGAAATAAGTGTTGACGCATGTGTGACGTTTTCGTGATAATTTCACGATATCTCTTAACGTTTTCATCTTCTGCCAACGTATTGCATGGTTAATATATGGGACGCCCTGTATAAAGAGTGTCGTTCGAATTTTGAAATGGGTTAACACGATTTTTATAGGATGAAGTTCTACCAGACATACATGATGGCTGCAATTGATGGAAATGATGTAGAAACCCTCAAAAATACCCTGGATGGGTGTTTGTGCTACAGCAAAGATGTGGAAGACTACAATTCATGTATGAAAACCCTCAGGCAGACAATGAATGCTCATCTTGATACAATCAACACGGAATTTGCTTCACTTGTTGGAGCAAATAGTTGTGCTTTGTACTCGGAGAATTGCATTTGAATATTTCAACATCCAATTCACTGATTGAATTCAGTTTCACTGATAGTCAATCTTACAGTGCAGAACATTTTTCATTTTTTTTGTTAACCATTTGTCCTGTGAGGAAAAATAATAAAATTTCAAGAAAACTCTCACGATTGCTTTCACGACTAAATGGAGAAATACTCAAAAATAATATCCTTGTAGAGGGTGTCCCAAGCTATCGTATACAGGCAATATCTCGTTTATTCAACAAGATAATTGAAAAACTCAAAACTGCATTGAATGCCATTGAAGTACCTTCCGAATGACATATGTAAACATCTATTACATTTGGCAGTTCTCTGGCATCTACATCGAAAAATTAAATGCTACAGCTAGAGATTCCCAAATTTTCTACATCATTTCTCTTTTGGAGCGCTCGAAAGGGAACCCTTAGAATATCTGAAGATCATCGTGCGCTAGGTAGTATATAGGAAGTGGAAGTACTAATTTAATTACAAAGAAAACTCCTGAATTGAATTAAGAACACGAGAAAGATGAAATGCAACTGTCATCTGAAAAATTGGGTTAATAATCCAGGGGTTGCGGTGGATATCACAGCAAGTATATCAACTTCGATGTATTTCTAAATATTTTCTCATATTGAATATTCTTCTTTGAACGATATTGTCGATGATTATCCTCAGGAGACATGTACTTGACAAGGGTATTTTTCCAAATGAGGATTTATCAAGTGTTTATCTTTAAAGATAACGAAGACATGCTTATCAGGCATAAAATTCTTTCATCTATAAAGGCTCATATGAACTATATCAGTTTGCGGAAAATGCCAATAAGTACTAATGGAATGTTTTGATATTGGCATGACATACGAGGGGATGCCAGAAGTCCGTATTCTTCTATTTGAACAATAATTCGATTCGAAAAAGCCAAAATTATCGAAGTGACATAATTATTTTACAGAGTCATGCCACCCAGTACATTGCATGGAAAACATCTTACCTCTTGTATAATCTTGTCCTCAATCATAATCAAATCTGGAAGGTACCTCTTCGAGACCAAAAGGATTATTCTGAAAAACTCCTCAACAAAAAACCTCATTGAAATAAATATCGATAAGGCTGTAAATGCCGACAATTTGATAACATGAGCTTGTCAGGAGTAACCATACCTTTGAAATCCCGTGAGATCAATTGCTAAAAGTACATCCCCAAAACTTTTTTCTGTGTTTTGTTTCGGGCCAGGAGCTATTTCACTTCCAGTCAGCTGCTTATGATCTATAAGGCACAGATCCGACCTGTAATGGAATACTATTCCCATATTTGGAGTGCAGCACCCAAACATACCCTGAAATTGTTGGATTCTGTCCAAAAAAGGGCAATTCGTCTCGTGGGTGATGCCTCGCTCACAAACTCACTCACTTCTCGGGAACATCGTAAAAAAGTTGGTGATCTGGCTCTATTTTATAGATATTTTCATGGACGATGCTCTCCTGAAATATCAACAATTGTTCCTCCATTGGCAGTCCCAGCTAGATTAACCTGTCGAGTTGAGGCTTCGCACCCCTTCGTGGTCACTTTGGAGACCTGCAGAACATCTCTTTCCAAAGACTCGTTTATCCAACGAACAGCGAGGCTCTGGAATACATTGCCAAGGGAGGTGTTCCCCGAGGCATATAACCTCCAGAAATTTAAGAATAACACCAATTCCTACCTTATTTTCCTTGGTTCTCACGATGTTCTCTGAACATTACAGGATATCCCTTTTCGTGGGAACCAGAACATAAAAAAAATATCAAAAACCTACCCACTACTGTGTGTTCTTGGCAGAGAAGCATGACTATGCGACTAGAGTTCTGTGAAAAAATCGAACAAATATTTTGTTGGACCTGTTTGAGAATATTTCGTGTTACCCCTGTACACAAACAACGAATATATGCCAGCTAGCAGGCGCAATACTCCTGCAGAGGATCGATATGATCCGAAGGATCCCATTTCATTCATGTATAGAATCTCGGAGCCTGACGGAATTCCTTCCTTCACATTCTCCCCCTCCTTCTTTTTTCAAATTCCTCTTCCCCCTGGCAACATGCGTTATCCGTAGGATCAGGTGACGGGGTCCAGCAGACGGTAGTCCAACAACCGAGTGTCTTAAATTATTGTCCGTGTTTTTTGTGATGGTGTTATAAAAGAGATTGACAGGATGATGCCCATCGGGAATCTCAATGAAAGGAGTTATATTCTGGAAGACGGGAAAAGGAACTTTTCTGAGGAGAGGGTGAGTCATTGATGGAATTCTGGTTACTGGGTGGACATATACAGGGTGACACAGGAGACATATGTAACAGCTAGTAGTTTTTTTATTTGAAGATATAAAAATCTGAAATTCTCAAGGGTTATATTTTCGATGATGGTGCTTCCCTTGAACCTAATGACAGTTTTTTTCTATCACTTATTTGATCGGAAGTAGACCCAACTTTTTTTTTTTCAAATGGCACCCTGTATTTTCCTGCCTTAAAAATCTCTATTCAACTATGTATCACAATTTGATATTCGTTCATTGATTGCCTGTTAAATTGTATTCCATTGAATGGATTGAGTTAAAAAAAAAATCATTCGAAAATAGCTCAAGATATTGAGAAAACTAAGATAGAAACTCAGTTTTTTTCATTTGACTACTTGTGAAGAAACTATTCGTCTTTTATTTTTGCCATGTAGCCATAATATGATCATCCATTTGGACATAAAACTGAAATTGTTGTAATAAAATGCAATTTAACAACCGATTAATGAACGAATATCAAATTGTGATAGAAAGGCGGAACTCAGTATGCCCGATATTGAAATGTCTGGCTCCACCATCTCCACCAAGCCCACCATATCTATGCTCCGTATTTCCATCAACAACACTCTTTCATGGGATAATCATGTCAGATCCATCGCAAAAGCTGCTTCACAAAAACTCGGGTTCTTGTTCCGTGCGAAAAGCTACTTTACACCTCAACAGCTTCTCATGATCTACAAAGCGCAGATACGGCCTGTTCTAGAATACTATTCCCACATATAGGGTTCAGCACCAAAACATACGCTGATGCTCTTGGATTCCATCCAGAGAAGAGCCATTCGCCTGGTGGGTGACGCCACACTCACTCACTCTTTGACATCATTGGAACACCGTAGAAAGGTCGGCGACCTTTCACTTTTCTATCGATACTTCCACGGGAAATGTTCTTCGGAAATCTCTGCTATCATCCCTTCACTAGCAATACCAATCAGACGAACTAGACAAGCCCAGTCAGCACATCCTTTCGTTGTCAACCTCGAAAGATGTCGAACAGCACTTTATCCATAGAACGGCTAGGCTCTGGAATTCATTGCCTGTGGAAGTATTCCCAACAACATATAATCTCCAAAAGTTCAAAAAAAAATTCCTGTCCCTATCCTCCCTAGGAACGCACGATGTTCTTTGAACATTATAGGGATTCCCTTTCGTGCGCTCCAAGCGATAAAAAAAAAACATAGTTGAATTTCAAGGCTAATAAGATAGACTACAGGAATATACGGGGTGCCATTTGAAAAAACTGTAAACATTATCATTCGAAGGAAACACTGCAGCATCTCATAACTTGATTATTTTGATCAAGAGGAAGGTTTCATTGTAAAGATCACATTATGATCTGCCAATACTTTTCAAAACCAGCTTACTTACAATGTACCGAACTTCACCCTTTAATATTTCAGGGAAGCAGTTTTGACTCTAACGAAAATGCGTTTGACGACATGAAACAACTTATAACCGTAAGTATGATCCTTAGTATGTCTTTAAAATTCACTTTAAATTTCATTTTGCGACATATACAAACATCAGGGAGGTTCTCCTAATAACAAAGCAACATTTTTAATATTCGTTGAACAGATATCTGTCAATAAAATTTTGGAGTATGTGAAATGTTAATTCGGTTATTGAAAATGATGTTAAATTGAGTTCGTACTTTACGTTCAATTATCGTTATTTTTCATGAATTTCTTTACATTTATTCCCGCTTATATGTTGCCGACTCTTCCTCACTCAGTCACTCACTAATTTGTGGGGCTAGAACCCTTCTGCGGGATCAGTAGCAGTACTGCACTGAACAGGGATTGAACTTCTGGGAAAATCATCAAGGCCTCAGACAGGCCAAAATTCTACTTGGTGCCTATAACCACAAAAGATCGAAAGCACATTTCAGCCTGAGCAAAAAGAAACTTCTTATACTAACGAGCGGAGTCGTAATAGGGCTTAGAAGAGGTTCTGTGGGAAAGAGTAGGAAGCCTCTTTTCACATATTCACGGAATGGGAACCTGGGAGCACACATAACAGAAGAGAAGATATTACCTACCTGGCACAAGCTCATTTCCTGGAATTTCTGAAGGAATAGAGGACTAGAAAAATTGCAATAGCTACGGAGAACAACCTCATCGGGGCCAATATAGATCTTTTGGGTCGCAATGTTTCCACCCCGTGTGCATACAATACGTTACAACTTCTTGAATAAATAGACGCCATTTCCCACAACATTTCAACTGATCCGTTGATTATTTAACATTTCCCAAAGTGTCTTCAATGATTAGGTACTCAGTGTGATTTCTTTTGAGATCGCTATTTATTTGTGTATTGTTCTGGGATTATCATAGTATTGGTGTGATATTAGTTCTTTTGAAACTCTCAGTCTTGAGCTGAGCAAGTGGGTTTTCGTTATATGATCACTAATAATTTTTCTGATATCAGGATGAAGAATCGGACAAGACCAACACTCTTCCATGGGCCAGTTTCAATTTCATCAACTCCATACTAGGGAGTGGAGTAATCGGTAAGCGCGTTCTCAAACATGACTGTTTTCGTGATCCCAGTAAACAATTTTGACCGGCCTTAATCTGGTTCAGAATATGCAGGCTAGAATTAGCCAGAACTTGCTGTCATTAGGGCCAGTACATGTCTGCCGATATATTCAAATAAAGAAAAAAGACGACCACCACGGGATTCGAACCCAGGTCCTCCGGTTACAAATCAAACTTATTCCAAATGAGCTAATACACCTTCCTTGAAATGATGTGTGTACGGAATCTGTTTGAGGTTAACTTCCGAATAGGAATATTCCATTGATAATTATCATCATCATAAGAGATATACAGGGGTGTCTAAGAAGGTCATGTCGTCAATGATAGGGCTGACAGAATGAGCCAAAATAATGTAAGTACATCATATGAGAAAAATCGATGATATTTGGGCTGGTGAATATACTCAACCTAATGCTTCTTTCCATACGGAAACGGCTTTTCAGTGAACATTTTTTATACGGGATTAGACGATTTTTTTCCGTTTAATGACGGCATTTTCGACACAAGTGACAAATTTCACATTTTGCTCCCACCGTTTGATTCCTTCATCTTCAATCTACAAAAATGGTATACTTTATTTTAATCGATATCTCGTACAGTTCAAGAGAAAATCGTTTCAGAGTTCATAGGTAATAAAAGCTCCATTAACCTAATTAATGACATCAGTGGAGACAAGAAGAAGATACAAAATGGATCTCAATATGTGCATCCTGAACTTTAACGCATTTGAAGTTATCAAAACATCTGAGTTGTACTGGAGATGACATTTGATGATAATCATTTCTTACGGCGTGTACAGATGTAATAATTCAACTCAAAAGCTCATCCCTGATATTCACAGGTGTTTTATAGACTCAACATTAAATATAGCTCCAATGAGATAATTCAAATGGATTGAGATCAGGTGACCTAGGTGCCATGGAAAAGGACGACCACAGGGAAATGTGATGTTCAGATGATATCTTCGTCGAAATGAAGCTCATCCCTGATATTCACAGGTGTTTTATAGACTCAACATTAAATAAAGCTCCAATGAGATAATTCAAATGGATTAAGATCAGGTGACCTAGGTGCCATGGAAAAGGACCATAGGGAAATGTGATGTTCAGATGATATCTTCGTCGAAATGAAGAGGCGTACCATTATACATCAGCCACATATCACCTCGTATATTCAGAAGAACCTCTTCTAAAAACGGATCTGGATGTTCTTGCAAAAAAGTTGAAGATTTATTTACGTTTGAAGGTCCATTAATGATATAAGATATAAGAAACGAAAAAAAATCGTTCCATCCTGTATGAAACATAATCACTGAGAAGCCGTTTACTTATGGAAAGATGCATTAGTATGAGTTGATTTACCATCCCGAATAACATTGATACCAAGGCACCGGTTGAAAGTTATACATGAAATTCATTTATTTTATTCTAACTTTCAAGGTCATTACCTCCGTAACGAAGCGCGATAGGCTTATTTTTTATATGAAGTAACATTATTATTTTGCCTCACTTTATCACCCTGTATACAAACGATGAACAAGGAAAAACATACGATTTTTGATTGACTACCGAATTTCTGTCATACCTATTTCATGGGTAAGACGACTTGCCTATTTTTTATGGCCGAATTTGATTACTTCTATGATAATATTTGAATGCTATGAATAAACATACCTGAGTATATGAGAAATAACAAGATATATCAGATTCTTCATCGCCGAGCCGAAACTGCTGAAGCAATAATGATAGTGAAATTTTGGCAACAGTGTTTACTTTCTGTAGCGTAGGGGATACACTCAAAATTAAGATTTATCAATGGGCGTGTACACCTTAGTAGAACTTTAAACTCGAACTATGTTTATGATGATCCTTTTATTCATAAATAATGATTGACAACATAATTCGATCGAAAAATTGACTGGAATGTTTTATTTTTGGACATAAATAATAGTACCTTCTGAAAACGGACCCTCTTATGACGTAGAAACCTCATCTCGCCATAATTAGAAGAAAATAGCAAACGCCCGACGGAGACTGAGGCAACTGATATATCAATTCTTTCAACTGTGATCTCGCGCTAATTCACTCTGTCAGAAATCATGTATCATTCATCTCTGTCTGGAATAGTCTTGTTTCAGTATTAGGGTTTTGACGCCACATCATCGCCTCGTTTTCAGAGGTCCGAGAAATCGGGGATTTCAATAATTTTTTATAAAACGTAGGGAGCTCACAGCAAGAAACGGTTTGCGGTGGTGAGCTAGTTTGGATGAGTTCTATCGAATTATGAAATAACATTTTTTTGTGATAGAAGCCTATTGTGGAAACTGAAATATAATTATACTCTATTTGGCACGATGCCTCCTAGGTTGACGTTCGAACGATTTCAATATGTATGAATGTATGTATGAATGTATGTATGTATGTATGTATGTATGTATGTATAAAGGGTAGACGATTGTATGACGTATGTGAAAAATAATACGAATTGCCTCTATTGGCCCAGTGCCGGCTAAATTATAGGCAAACTATTACAATATGCCACACAATGGGCCGACGTTAGACCGGTGCAGCTTGGCCAGCAGCAATCTGCCAATCTATCATGTACTGGGCCAGAAGACGGCCAGAGATTTGATGTTTGCTGGGATGTTATTATACATCTGCTTATCACGTTTCAGGTATTCCTTATGCCCTACACGAAGCTGGTTTTGGTTTTGGGCTGTTACTATTAATCTTCGTGGCTGTGGTGACAGATTATTCCTTGATTCTGATGGTCCGAAGCGGTCACATCAGCGGCAAGTTCTCATACCAGGGCATCATGGAAGCTGCTTTCGGGAGAGCTGGATATTACCTTCTAGGATTACTTCAGTTCGTTTATCCATTCATAGGTACAGTAAAGCCTGTTTTCAAAATAGTTATTTATGCAACAAGTGCAAAAAGTGAATGTTTATTGCACTCGACGTGAAATTGTCCGACGAGGCCGTGAGGCCGAGTTGGACAACACGTCGAGTGCAATAAACAATTTTTGCACGAGTAACATACAACATTTTTTCTACGTTCATGCAAAAAGCAAAAAATGATTTATTGAGGTGCGGCACTAGGTACAATTCTGTTAATTGTCAGAATTAATTTTTGACTGACGTTTCTATAACCACAGTTGCAATATAAAAAATGTTTGTCATGATGACAGCACGTTGAAGTAGAATGACAGATGAGTGCAATAAAAACTTTATTGCACTAAGTGCAATAAAGAACTTCTTTTTCCACTAAATATAGTTCAATAAAGTTCTGCTTTTTGCATGAATGTAGAAAAAGTTCATTATAGCACGATCTGGGTGCGTTAAAGTCTTTCTGAAGATCCAATGATCCCCAGTTGAGTATCACAAATTGCGTTGTATTGCTGTCAAATTTCATGAACACTGATACAGGCTGATTCACGGTGGATGGCACATTAGACGTTTCTGGTGAACCAGACATCGGATCATTTTGAAAATTCAATGGAGGGCATATTCGGACATTCTCTAGCCAACTAAAATATTTTCGACAATGCGGTGTTGCTGCTTTTATTAGAAAGCAGTAGCAACTTTGATTTTTCAAATGGAACACTCTGTATTTTATTGCATTTTAAGATTCTCCCTGAATAGCAGATTTCATCGATGTATCACACTTGGGGTCTAGCGGAAAAGATTACAGAGATATAGGGTGTGAAAAATCGACATTTTTCAACTTTAGGAATTTTTTTTGTCGAAACTATTCATTATTGGTCGAAACGGCTCACATGTCCCTATCTCAACTGTTGATCAATTATCTACTAACATTTAATGGAAACAAATACAGGGTGGTGCAGAATTCAGAATCTTGATCACCCGGTATATGTCCCAATTAAATATCAGTAGATAGTTAATCAAAAGTTGAGATAGGGACATGTGAGCCGTTTTGACCAATGATGAATAGTTTCGACACAAAAAAAATCCTAAAGTTGAAAAATGTCGATTTTTCACACCCTATATCTCTGTAATCATTTCCGCTAGACCCCAAGTGTGATACATCGATGAAATTAGCTCTTCAGGGAGAAGCTAAAAATGCAATGAAATACAGAGTATTCCATTCGAAAAATCAAAGTTGCTACTGCTTTCTAATAGAAGCGGCAACACCGCATTGTCGAAAATATTTTAGTTGGCTAGAGAATGTCCGAATATGCCCTCCATTGAATTTTCAAAATGATCCGTTGTCTGGTTCACCAGAAACGTCTAATGTGCCATCCACCGTGAATCAGCCTGTATATATTTTTGCTTTTAGAAATCTTTGGCAAATCAGCCTGTATGCACATAGAGAATAAATGGTGTATCGAAATAGACACCAAGATCAACCAGCGAAAAGCCAAATACTCAGATTGGAAAGCAATGGTGACAAAGAGAGAAACTCGAAGTCATTACCACAATAGTTCATAAAATAAACGGAAATGGTAGATAACGAGAGAAACTACTGCATCTTCACCTACTCAAACCTTTGAAACACATAATAAATTCAATTTTCGATACTGGAATCGTACCGAATCAATTTAAGAGCTCTGTAAAATACAATAACTAACTATAGGCCAATTAGTCTGATTAGTAATGTGGCAAAACTATTTGAGAAATGCTTGAAAGAAAGACTGATGAATTTTTTGAAAGTTAATAACATACTCCCAAAACAACAAGATGGTTTTACTGAGGGTGTCAACTCAAGTGACCCAATGCATGAATTGATATCGCACATCGCCAATGAGATGAATAATAAAAATAAATGTATAAGTTTTTTCTTGGACTTAGCAAAGGCCTTCGATACGGTACCACATCAGAACCTCCTAATCGTTCTTCAACAAAATGGAGTGAGAGGTACCGTGTTGAAGATCTTTGAGAGTTATCTCACCCTAAGAAAGCAAACAGTAAAGATCAGGGACACCATTAGTAAACCTGAAATTGTGCAAATTGGGGTTCCACAAGGTACAGTTTTAGGGCTCATAATCTTCAACCTATACATCAAAAGCCTAACTGACATTAATATTCAAGGCAAAGTTATATCATATGCTGATGATACTGTACTAACTTTCAGTGATAAAGACTGGGAAGGTGTGAGGAGACGCGCGATAGCAGGAATTAAACACGTCAAAAACTGGTTAGATACTAACAAATTGTCACTTAATGTGAATGAAACAAACTATATTGCCTTCTCTAAAACATCCGCAGATCGTCCTCACTTCAAAGAAATCATGTGTAATAATCTAACCTCGGCAATACAAGAGACTGAAACTACCAAATACTTGGGCATCATTATTGACCAAAACTTAAAATGGGACTATCATGTAATGTATATATCAAAAAAACTCAGATTCTTGATCTATAAATTCTTCCTCCTTAAGCAGTTTCTCAGTATAAGCCTGCTTATAACATTATATTACAGTTTAGTAGAATCTATTCTATGTTATCGAATCTTAGTAATGGGCGGCATGTATGACACAGCACTAAGGCCCTTAAATGTTATACAAAATAAAATATTGAAGATTATTTATAAAAGAGACAGGTTGTATCCAACTCATTTACTATATAATGAGAAAATTTCTAATATTAGATGTTTATTCATTTATACAGTATGTTGTCACCTGAAAAATCATGAATCCCTAAAAAATCCTATCGATCATAGTCATGACACTAGAGCTGTATCTAATATGCATATTGGAGTTGATAAGCCGAACAGTGAGTTTTTCAAAAATTGTGTGAACTATTTAGGACCCAAATGTTACAATACTCTACCGTTAGATATAAAATTGTTACAAAAATATAGATTCAAAAAGATCTGCAAAATACATATTTTCCAAAACTATTCGAAATTGTATAATAATATTTTCTTAGGGGAATGTATATATTTTTAGTTTCTCTGTATACTCTAAAACATGTCATATAAACATAATATGAACAGTTCACCTCAATCTATTTCACTAAAATATTCATGTACATTTCGAACATTTCCATTCAAGACACATACAGGTGTGTTTTCACCTAGGTGTCCTAATTCTAATATATAGCTATAAAAATGCAAAACATATTGTAAACATATATTATATAGATATTATATCCAAATAAAATTAATAAGATAAATAAAATGAAAAAATAAAACAACTACTTTCCTTGCTATATGCCACCAGAAGTGGAAGTGTTTCTTTCCTAAACGCCGATCTGCGCCTAAGTGGTTCAGGAACGCAGGACTACCTGCAGATCGGTTTCGAGCTTTTGGCTCTCATCAGTGCAGGGCTGTCCCAGATAGCATTCTTGACCGCTATCTGGTGCGAACCTGACCCAACGTAAACGAATCTCAGCATTTATACCCCACAAGACGTCGTTGCACAGATCGGTGTTTAGGAAGCTGGGTGCTGAATTCCATTAGTGGGAACAATATTCTCATTTCTGAAACAGATCTCATCTGTGCTTGTTCATTATGAGAAGCTGTTGAGGTGTGAAGTGAATATTTGCATGGAATAAACATCCGAGTTTTTATGAAGCAGCTCTGTATCATGAACATCATCATTATACAGCTAAATATAGAATATTGCTGATGGAAATACCGAGCATAGATATGGTAGATTTTGTGAGAATAGTGGTATACCAGACATTTTTATATCAGGCAACCTGAGTTCCGCCTTTCTAGAGAACATACAGGCTTGTATTTTGCTGGCGTTGAATTCAATAAGGTTGTTGGTTCCTGAGGCTGTAATTGCCTTCGTCGTGAGTTCTTATAGAATCCTGAGAAGGAATGGGAATTCTGAGTGAACGCAATATGAAGAGCAGGTACTATCATCTGCAAATCTGTGGATAGGGCAAGTGGTTTATCCCAACAGATCATTGATATAAAGTAAGATCAGTGTTGAGGCTAAAATGGATCCTTGTAGATCGCCGGAGTTGATGGCAATGGTATCAGACGATACTACCACCACATGAAGCGATTCGCCTGAAAGAAAACACGATAAAAGATGGCATAGCAGAGGTAGTATGCCTTATGATGGTTGTTTGTGGAGTCCTTGGTACGAAACACGATCGAATATCTTCGATATATATGGATATATCAAACGCCACAGCTAGAGATTCCTCATGTTTATCTAGCTAGCCATATTTGGTTGACGGCAAGTGAATCTCCAGTCGATCTCCGTTGGCGGAAGCCATATTGTCTATCATTTGAGATTCCTGAGCTTTCTAGATATTTGACAGGCTCCATGTTGATGGCTTTTTTCATTACTTTGGAGATAACTGATAACAGGGCAATAGACCTGTAGTTGTTTGGCTGGTTTTCGTTTCCCTTTTTGGGGATTGATTGGACTGTAGCTATTTTCAAGCACGATGGCAAAACACCCGATTTGTCAGAGATGGTGAATAGCCTGCAGAGAATCGGTGTCAAGTCTGGTGCACACTTTTCGAGAATAATGTGTGGAATTCCATCAAGACCAAGAGCCTCATTCGTTTGGAGACCAAGCAAAATGCGTCTGATGGTACGTTGAAGGAAGACGATTTGGAGCATTCGACTTTAAACTGGTGGGCTATCTTGCAGCATCCTTCCCTGAGAATCTGAGGTGGAGATTGCTGCGGAAATCTCTTCAAAAATGTTTCCTCTCTCTTGCGATGTTGTTGCAAATTGAACCCATCTACACAATTGAGAAGAATGGACCCAAACGAAGGATAGCTATATAGGGGAATACATACGATTTGTTCCAAGTTTCTGAATTAAAGTTCATACTTCGTGAGTTCCAAGTGATGTTTTCTGAACCACTACAAAAAAAGGCAATTCGTCTCGTGGGTGATGTCTCGCTCATAAATCCACTCACTTCTTTGGAACGTCGTAGAAAAATCGGCGATCTGGCTCTATTTTATAGATATTTCCATAGACGATCCTCTTCTGGAATATCTACAATTGTTCCTCCCTTGGCAGTCCCCGCGAGATTAACTCTTCGAGTTGAGGCTTCGCACCCCTTCGTTGTCACTTTGGAGACTTGCAGAACATCTCTTTCCAAAGAATCGTTCATTCAACGAACAGCGAGGCTCTGGAACACATTGCCAAGGGAGTTGTTTCCCGAGGCAAATAACCTCCAGAAATTCAAGAAGAACACCAATTCCTACCTTATTTTCCTTGGTTCTCACGATGTTCTCTGAACATTACAGGATATCCCTTTCCGTGGGAACCAGAACATAAAAAAAGAAGAAAAAAAGGCTCTTCGAATTACTATTAACTGATCTGAAATTCAAGTTACACTTACTGAAATATGAATTGAGTACTAATCTGAATTATATGTTGAGCTTTCTTGAAAATGGTATAGTTTTCCATTAAATCTAGTTATAACAGTATAAGAGCATGATTAATTAATATTTTTGATTTTCAGCTATGGTTTCGTACAATATCGTGGTGGGTGACACTGTGACGAAGGTGATAATGAGGCTAACAGGTCTGGGCCCGGATTCCCTATTTGCAAAAAGGGAGGTCATCGTTCTCATAGCCACCATCTTCATCGCGATACCTCTATGTTTGTACAGGGACGTAGCAAAGTTGGCCAAGATCTCCTTCTTGAGCTTGATATGCATCGTCTTCATTCTCCTCTCTATATTCGTGAGGATTGGATCCATAAGTAATATAGTGTGAGTACTTACTTAGGTACTCACTTACGATTGCCATAGCTTGAGAAAATATTCCTTGAACAATTTCAAGTCGAAAGTGCTATACTCTTCTGTCTTTAACACAATTCTTGAGAAGCTATCAGCAAGTAGATAACTATAGTTCTAACACAAAAAATTCTTGAAGTTGAAAAATCTCGATTTTTCACACCCTATATCTTTATTATCATTTCCGCTAGACCCCAAGTGTGATAGATCGATGAAATCAGCTCTTCAGGAAGAATCTGGAAACGAAATGATATACAGGGTGTCCCATTGAAAAAATCGAAGTTGTTGCTACTTTCCAATATAAGCAGTAACGTCGCTATGCTGAGAATATTTTAGGTCGATAGAACACAACTAATTGTTCAAGGCATCAACTTTTCAATATAATCCTGAGTTGCGTTTTCCGGAAACGTCAAATGTGCCATCCACTGTGAATCAGCCTGTATACAAAAGATTTTATTCTAACTTGAACTAACTATCAAAATTCACGTCGTTTAATAGCTATAGAGGATTCTGAGTAGCTTAGATGTCCTAATAATAATGTTTATTCCATTTATTTCAGACCACAACATCACGATTCCTGGAGATTCATAAACAAAGATATAATTCCTGCAATCGGCATAATGGCATTCGGTGAGAATTGCGAATATTCATTGTACATTCCGAGATGTCCAAACATGGTTAATTAATATATTTATTCTATCAATTTTCAGCATTCATGTGCCACCACAACACGTTCTTGATATACGGATCCATAGCTGAACCAAACCAAAAGAAATGGGAAATTGTGACTCATGCTTCAATAGCAACCAGTTTGATTGTGGCTATTCTGTTTGGAATTGCCGGATATACAACTTTCAAGGCATATTCACAAGGTATTATCGGAGATCTGATAAAAAAACAGAGGCAAAACTATAAGCACTATTTTCATGTGACCTGGAACCAATCTCATTGTTATTCTGAATGGAGAATTCAAATTCGGCCAATAGCTTTGATTTTATACGGGTGTATAATTTCGCTAGTATCAGACCATATTATATGATACTTCCGCTTCGACCGAGAGTGCGTCAAATGTCTTCATTTAAAAAAGAAAGTAATTTTTTTTTGAAAATTTCCAACGATATATTACAATAATACTTGTTTATACTCACATAACTAAAATGGCATTTAGCGTACGAATATGTACCACGCTAAATGATCGATTAATCACGGATAATATTAAACACGTTACCATGGCAGCACGATCACTCAAACACATTACCATGGCAACACAGTTCATTAAACACAGCTTCAGTAATTTGAGACATGTCTGGCCTGTCGATTGTATTAACTGTCAACTGTTATTTTCGAATTTTGTATCAGAATTATTCAAACAATATTCGTTTGTATCAGAGTTCTCCATTAAAAATATATGCGAAATGTAGACGAAAGTGAAATCGAAGAGAATGTTCTGGTACTTGCATATCTCCAAGAAGTATAAAAATGAAGCATCCATCTTTGAGAACAATTTATTCATTCTGCGCTAAGCATGACGATAAACGTGAAACAAAGGTCAGTAAGCAATGGACTGGACACATCTACAACCAATATCACTTATACGGGTCTCGCTTGTTGCATGCGGTTGCATGTATTATGTTCTCAATTCCCATTCCTTTCGAATTATTTTGTAGGTTCACAGGAATAGCAGGTATGTTAATGTAATTTTCGGAGTTCGTAGAAAAAGCATAGTATGTAACGCGTTTATAAACTCTTCTAGACACTCGTTTATTAAACACTCGCTCTGCTTTGCTCCGCTAGTGCTTAAACTACTGGTTACTTAAAGGACCTTTATAACACTTGTTACATAATATACTATCAATTTACAATCCACTAATTCAATTGAGAATTTATAGAAAATAACTTTTTGTATTCTCCTCTAGACACGTAGGATTATCAAATGAAATTTTTGTGGCGCCCGAGTTTGCAGTTTCAATAATTATTCAACAACCAACGTAGGTAATCCATAACTTACAGTGGAGAATGGAGGTGATAAAAATCAGGAGGGGTGAAAGAACTAACAGTAACATGAGATTGGTTCCAGGTCACCTGGTATATCTATAATTATCAGAAGTTTCTAGAAGTTCAGGGATTTCCAATTTGAGTCGACAATATTGCTAAGTTGTTTAATATTGAAGCTACAAAGTCAGATTAATAAGCAAGCCAGTATTTTTCTGCTGATTCTGATGATGAAAAGTTATGTCAGAAAGTCAATGAAACACCCAGTATACAATAATCGATAGGAAATTATATTCTGAACAAGAGTGGTCCTTTAAACTTTCATCCTAAATTGAAAAATGAGTGTGCTATCGATGATTTCATTTTACCAGAGAAATGTCAAGAATTTAAAATCTCAAATCGCATATTGTGTATTATAAGGGTATTATAAATGATGTGCATAATGTATAATAGTAGATTGTTTTATTAGGATCAAAAGTGACACTTTGTTTCGAAGCCGAGCGAAAGCAAAATTTGCGAGTCGAACAAAGTCACTTATTATTCTTGATGCTACTCTATATGCTACTTTCAAGTCCTGTTTATGTAGAAATGAAGCTAATTTTTCAGTTGATGATCCAAAATAGGTAGGTAGGATGAACTTCTTGAATAGCTTTATTAATACAATATAATTAGATCGACAATCCGTGACTTCGATGCATGTATCAGCTATGCGCAGTCAACCAGCAGACTCAAGAACACAGTCGCCGTCGCATCTACCCTTATATGATTATGCCGGTCTTATGGTACGCGCGCTTCCGTGACGCCAGTTCGCCAGTTAGCTTCCAACCCAGAAAGTGCCCAACGGGCCTATATAAGTCATCACTTTAAAAAGATGACCGTGTATACCGTTTTTCAGGGGACCTGCTGGAAAACTACTGTTGGGACGACGATCTGATGAACGTCAGCAGGCTACTCTTCAGCGTGCAGATCCTGCTCACCTATCCGATCGAGTGCTTCGTTACCAGAGAGGTGATAGAGACCTCCCTTTTCGGCAGAGATCCCAACGTGCCCACTTCCGAAAAGGTGCACTATCTTCTCACGCTGGGTATCGTCGCAACCACTTATGGCATTTCCATCACCACGTATTGTTTGGGAGTTGTTTTGGAATTGAACGTGAGTACGAAAATAATAACGAACCCAACCAGAAACAGTATTATATTACATAACAAGGGTTATAAAAAGCTAAAAAAATCTAGCTTATTTCTAGCTTTTTTGATACTCATTTCATACTGTTTACTACTCGTCGCACTGGTCTGAAATTTTTCCGCACCCAACATTTTTTGTCTTTGTTCATCACGTGTAATTTTAAATGATGCATATGTATGTATATGTTGCCGTGAAAGACCGAAATTAGTGATTGTTGACATACACCGGTTCCCAGCGAGCACAAAAACATCTCAGAGATGTTAAAAGTACGAGATTTCGAGACATTGAACCTCCACTGCGATGTTCTGTTCACACATGAATAGAACTATTATAGAACAGCCAATGTCCGCTGCAGGCGGCAATTATCGAGATGTCCTTGATATGTCACAAGACTACGTTCTCCATAGTTCTTTTTAAAGCCTTTTCATGGACACAGCAGAACATTTTCAACGCGTCTTGCGCACATTGAATCACTCTAAAAAAACATTTTCGATGTACTTTTCTGAAGCCTTTTGTCAAAATGAACTTTTGCATTAGGATTCCATTTCCCTTGAATGAAAAAATGCATTGAAAATAGATTGAACATAAAAATATTTTCTTGATATGAAATTACCTAAAATCGGTTTCTGAGTAGTGCTTACTGCACACAGACATATAATTGGAAATAGGTATCCCAATTTTTGAAATGTTCTCCACAATGCATAATTTTGCAACTGCGGAGAAGCTGTGTATTGAAAATTCGTACTTTTATATATTGATTACACTGAGGCACCGAACAACACACCTTGCATCTGATGGTCATTATTACAAGCTAAATAAGTCTTCTAACACAATAAACTTCACCAAATTCCTTTCTGTTCGTTAGCAGCGTGATGTAAGCGTGACACGCTGCAAACGCGAATGCCAATTGCGAACAAGAAGAACAAACTCGAAAACAAATCAGAATTCATCGTATTGTGACGTAAGCATGAGACGTTGTGGTGGGGCAAACAAAGAAAGGGCACAAAAGAACAAAAACAATACTTTCAATATCCTTCTAAGACCTCTTTGGGAAGTGCATATTATGCCTCGAAAAAACATCCTCATGCCTACATTTCTAAAACATCCCAAAACATCCCAGGGATACCTCTCAGTAGGCAAACAAAGAAATGCCACAGAAGAACAAAATAATAGTTCAATATCCTTCAAAGACCTCTTTGGTCAGTGCATATTACGTCTCAAAATAACATCTTCATGCCAACATTTTCAAAACATCCCAAAACATCCCATGGATGTTTGTGCACGCTGGTTATGCGTACGCTAAATGCCATTTTGGTTATGTGAGTAGAAAAATACATTTTATGAACATTGTATTCAAATGACTTTGAGCTTTTTGTATTCATTTAATTATTTATGTGTCCATAGGGTGTTTTGGCAGCCGTTCCCCTAGCTTACGTCTTACCAGCATTGTGCTATCTCCAACTAGAAGAAGGCTTCATCTTCTGCAGGAAAAAATTGCCAGCACTCGGAGTGGTTCTATTCGGACTCACAGTGGCCATATTAGGTGCCGTCTTCCTCATAATCGATTTCGATCAGATCGACACTTGCATCGAAGGGACTGTTATGGAGTATTGCAATACAACTAGTCTTGTTGTGAATCAAACTATTAGGGCCTAAAGCTTGAATGAATCTGAATAATCTAGGTGCTTTTATGCATATTGACATCGCTATACAATGTTGGTTGAAGAGAGAAATCATGAGTTCTATCAATCTTGGAGATGTTGAGAACCTAACCTGACGCCTGACGCCATCTTTGAAATGAATATTTGATGTCACATCGGCACATATACAGGGTAACTCACGGTCCATGGTACGTTAGAAGTTTACGGAGAACGGGACATAGGATCATTCTGAAATTTTGGTCAGTCACGTAGTTGCCCTTGGTCTATCGATCTAAAATATTTTCAGCTCTGCAGCGTTGCCGCTTCTATCGAAAAGTAGCAACAACTTTGTTATTTCAAATAGAACACCTTGTATTTTATTGCATTTTCAGATTCTCTCTGAAGAGCTGATTTCATCGATGTATCACACTTGGGGTCTAGCGGAAATGATTACAGAGATATAGGGTGTGAAAAATCGACATTTTTCAAGTTTATGAATTTTTTTTGTCGAAATTATTCATTATTGGTCAGAACGGCTCACATGTCCTTATCTCAACTCTCGATCAACTATCTACTGACATTTAATTGGAACAAATACAGGGTCGTGCAGAATTCAGAATCTTGATCACCCGGTATATGTCCCAATTAAATATCAGTTGATAGTTAATCAAAAGTTGAGATAGGGACATGTAAGCCGTTTTGACCAATAATGAATAGTTTCGACAAAAAAAATTCCTAAAGTTGAAAAATGACTCACACCCTATATCTCTGTAATCATCTCCGCTAGACCCCAAGTGTGATACATCGATGAAATCAGCTCTTCAGAGAAAATCTGACAGTGCAATAAAATACAGGGTGTTCTATTTAAAATAACAAAGTTGTTGCTACTTTTCGATAGAAGCGGCAACGCCGCAGAGCTGAAAATATTTTAGATCGATAGACCAAGGGCAACTACGTGACTGACCAAAATTTCAGAATGATCCTATGTCCCGTTCTCCATAAACGTCTAACGTACCATCGACCGTGAGTTACCCTGTATAAGTGTACAGAGTTAGCAAAAAGATTGGAACCTCGATATTTTTTACAAAGGATAAACCGTTGTAAAGATATATGCTAAGTGGTTCTATATATTTTTCACTAACTTTGCATACCTGTTTTGGTTTTTATTGATTGGAAATAATTCCAAATATTTTTCGTTATGCTATGAAAAAATTCTATAAATGTACAGGGTAGCTGGAATTCCTAAGATATCCAGCGTCGATTAATTCATGACAAAGTTGCGCAAATTTATGCCTAACAAAATGCCGGTCGAAACTTTGTTTTTTTTTTTCGTATATCCTCGGAACTATTCGTAATTTTCTGAGTTTGGAAACGGAATTTTGTTAGTCATAGAATTGTGCAACTTTGAGATAATTTAACCGACCCTGTATCTCTTACTGTTCACGGGATCCCAATGATGAGGCTCGAATTCAAGCCACCCTGTATATCTATGATTGATACGATTAGGGTTTGAGCTGACCTGAGGGAATTTAAACGACTCAATCAAATAGACAGAGCTTAAAAATATACTGATAATTATGTAAAGTAGCTACTGTGGAAAATAATAATTATATTTTCAGGGATTTTTAAAGTAGGTAATAATATCTAGTGCTAGTTTCGAATTATTTACATACAAATATTCTGGCTCTTTTTTTTTTAAAAGATACTCATCTGTAAATAGGACTGAAGATATGTTTTGCGAAGTATTTCAATATGCATATTCAACATCATTATTCTCGCCACATGAAAAGAAACACTCGTTTTAGTTTGAAGAAATAGTATAAACGGACAAAATGCCAATATTTGAATTTGCTGGTATGAATATACAGGGTGATTGGTTCACCGCCGTATATCCGAGAGGAGGTGGTAGAGATACAGGGCGTTTCAATCGAGAATGTAATGACTTTGAACTCGCACTAAAATTCATTCCCTGACAACAAATATAATACACCAGCAACAATTATCTGACAGTCCAAAGCACACTCTTCTACTCTTCATGAATGAAATAATATTCGAAATCCTCTTCTGAACGGATAAAAATATCGTTTCCAGAAAAGAATACCAATATCACGAAGAAATATATTATCTAATCGAAATCAATAAAAAAATTCGTCCAAAAAAGTTGCCAGTCTGGATATTTTCAAGCAAAAAAGGTTACCTACACTTGCGAAAATTCACTAAAGTAAGCCTTTTCGAGATAATACGGTTTTTGGTGTATTTTGAATAAAAAATTGTTGCTGCTATCTTCGTGGGTGTAATTTAGTCAGTGAAAGAGCAGTGCAAAAACGGATTTTTTAAAATGTACTTGTCGATTTTTATTTTTCTTATTTATCACCCTGTATCTCGGAAACGGAGCAATTTCGGAGAGAGGTTGCTTTAAATCGACTTATTTTGACCTCAGGACTATGTGCTAAGATTTTGAACAGACCATTCAGGGACACCCTGTATATACGAATACTTTTAGAAAACTCTGTATACATATTTTATATTTTGTGAAATATTTTTTTTTGTTTCCTATCACACTTCTTTTTATTCCTCTGAATATGAACAACGACTTTTGTTTCCATTTATTTTTCGTTCAAAATGGCTTTTTATCTGTATACGGGGTGAGGTCATTACCGTGGCCATTTTGCCCATAAATAGTGAACAATATTTACATATTATATATTATATATTCATGTTGCCAAATTGTACTTTGTGATCTTAAGATATAAGAGAAAATTTAGAAGCAGATAACTAATTGTATGTACTATTTTATTTATCACGTGCGTCACTTCTATAATGAAATATCGGTGAAAAAATCAAAAGAGAATACAGATGCACAAAATGAAAATTCATTCATCATATACTGAGTGACTGAGGAATAGGTAAACACCTATTTGAATTAGGTGTAATACAATAATTCAATAATTTTTATACACGACCGGGCGTGAAGTCTCACTTTATCTCCCGGTTTTACGATCGTAAAGTGGCACTTCAGCTACTGCTGACTCTTTACCGGCCGGCGTATCAGTAACTATAGTGATAAGCATTCTCTTGATATTTTGAGATGCAAAATGATATGATCGAACCCAAACTAATTATAATAGCTAATAATAATCTGTGATGACATAAATTGACAGCAAATGATGATTCACCTCTATTTAAAAAATTTGACCGCGTGCATAAAATGTTTTTTCTACTCACATAACTAAAATGGCATTTAGCGTACGGATATGTACCACGCTAAATGATCGATTAATCACGGATTGTCGATCTGTGATTTATTCAAAATATTAAACACGTTACCATGGCAACACGATTTCTTAAACACATTACCATGGCAACACAGGTCATTAAACACAGATTCAGTAATTTGAGACATGTCTGGCCTGTCAATTGTATTAACTGTCAACTGTTATTTTCGAATTTTGTATCAGAATTATTCAAACAATATTCGTTTGTATCAGAATTCTTCATTAAAAATATATGCGAAAAGTAGACGAAAGTGAAATCGAAGAGAATGTTCTGGTACTTGCATACCTCCAAGAAGTGTAAAAATGAAGCATCCATCTTTGAGAACAATTTATTTATTCTGCGCTAAGCATGACAATAAACGTGAAACAAAGGTTAGTAAGCAATAATGGACTGGACACATCTACAACCAATATCACTTATACGTGTCTCCCTGGTTGCATGCAGTTGCATGTATTAATTTTTGGAGTTCGTAGAAAAATCATAGTATGTAACGCGTTTATAAACTCTTTTATACACTCGTTAATTAAACACTCGCTCCGCTCTGCTCCGCTCGTGCTTAAACTTCTCGTTACTAAAAGGACGTTTATAACACTTGTTACATAATATACTATTATGTATTTCAGGCGGAACTTGCTTTTATGGACCTAGACGTGTTAATACACACTACGAGCTTGATACATAAATAACTATTTGCTTACATATTTTGCAGACATGCAATAGCGTATTTACATTATGAGAAGAATTCTGAAAATTTGACCAGTTTTATTTGACCCAATGTAGTATATCTGCATACAAAAAATTTTTGAGATAGAATTACAAATTCAGGTGTTTATCTTTTTTTGTCACTCAGTATCCATACGTTTTATGATCATTTTTGATGAATTATAGATCTACCGCCTTATGTTGTATATATGTACATGAGAAGTACAGCACGCTGTAGATGCATTTAATTATAGTTTTAGTTTTATTAACATTCTTGTGGAAACTATGTAGGTATTGAGCTGAAAAACAACAATACTTATAAATGCTATAATATAGCGATCGGTATATTGTAGTGAATAAATAGCCAGCCATATTTATTTACTCAGAAACCTATTTATATATATAAATACAGTATCATATATAAATACAGTATCATTCATAAAGTCGGCATCATATGGGAAAAACTTTTATTAATGACTTATTTTGAAATTCGAGTTGGACGTTAAATTTTGCTTAAAAAAACAAGAAAAATGGCCTACTCAATCGGGGTCACGTGACTTTCGCTACATGTCAAAAGTGACATTTTTCCAAATTAATCGCTGAAAGTAGGCTTATTTGTTCGAATATTGAAAAAGATTACTTGAAAAAGTTGTTTCCATTCAAATTTTACATATGTGACTCGGATTTTAGCTTTCTATTACATTTTTTAGATTTCGATATTTTTTTACAATTTTCCAAATTTTTGTGATATTAAAAAAAATGTGAATTCGATAAAACTACTTCATACCAGTAGTTTCATCATGCTTCTAACTTTCAATTACTAATTATCACTAATTATCGACAAAAATATGATTTTCTTCAGAAAATGATAATCTCCGGTTCAAAATTCTTTTATGTTTGATGCAAACATAACATCAAAATTCTGTTATGTTTGAGTCAAGCATTTAGAAACGAAATTCATTCAAATTCATTTTTTCAGTACTGAAAAGATCAGTTTAAATGAATCTCGTTTCTAAATGCTTGACGATATATCAACTTTGGATCAAACATTACAGAATTTGTAAGCGGGTATTATCATTTTCTGAAGAAAATCATATTTCTGTCCATAATCAGTGAAAATAAGTAATTGAAAGTAAGTAGCATGAAAAAGCTACTGGTATGAAGTAGTTCCGTGGAATTAACAATTCTTCAAATATTACAGAAATTTCGAAAAATT